GGGAACACGGGAACAAGTACCCCCCCTGGGAGACCCTCAATGATGCTGAAAAGCTCATAATAAACGTTTGTTATAAAACCGCGCTCGAGTGTGAAGAGACGGCATGGAATAACAACACGAGAGAGCAATGTGAGTAACGATTTGCTTGGTTTCTTGACTTGACTGTTGGTAAAAATGTAAGAATGTTCTTGTAAACTCAAAGCAAAGAAAATAAACAAAAATTAGCAAGGGAATCATGTAATTTGATACTTTTCCCACACCCTCTCGGGCGCTAAATTTTGGACGAGGCACGTGACCAGCCCATACCAGGGTATTTCCTAAATACCCTGGGAACGAGGTTGCTGTTTACATCCTAGGGGTTTGGAAAAACCGGAAATCGATTCTACAGGTCAAAGTACTCCCAGTGGCATGGTTTGCACGTGCATCGGGCTATATATGGCCAAGCATACACGTGGCGCGCGCGTGCGAGTAAAAACCCTATATTTTGAAAATTCAAAATAAATATTTCTACTCGCCATATTCAAACGAAACTTCCTACACGAAAGCGCTTTAATACAAGGAGTATTTTACTCATATTGACTCCAGCGACGTGCTGGGCCGGCTTGAAAAGGACGACGAATGAGCAACGTCTGATGAGGCCCAGGCCCAGTGACGGGATGGATCAAGATTGGGGCAGGGGGTATTACTGATCAAACATGAAACATTTCAGTAATGTTTTCGTAAATTTAGATTTTTTAAATATAAATTGTAATATCTTAATCTTGATTTTCAGAATTAAAATCTATATTTTAAAGTTAAAATCTACAATTAGAAACAACAAAAATCGTAAAAATTTAAATTGGGGTGACGAGAAATTAAGTCGTTTACTGGCACTGACGAGTACAATTGTCAGGCGTTGATAGCAGGGCCGTAGCCACCGGGGGTCTGGGGTCTTCAGCCCCGCCCGCCCCCCCAAAAAAACAAACTTGTAAACTAGCGATAATCTGTGAAGTTTGAGAGGGATATAATTACCTCGTAATCGCCCCTGACTAATCAGCTCCCCCAATACAAAATTGCTTCCTACAGGTAGTGGAAAGGCAGTAACTATTAAAGTATGGCACATTGCCAGCCAATGGCGGTTAATAAGAGACATTAGCAGATACTGACAGTACCGGCTACAACTGACAAGTAAAATCGTCTGGCGTTACAGAGTGTAAATTTGTCTGGCGTTAGACAGAGTTAATACTAAAGTGGGGTGCATTGTCAGCTAATGGGTATGCCGTTTATCCACTTTTGACCCAATGGCAACTTTTTCATGTTGGTTATTTACTCATGTTCCGTGCACGCAAATTCAAGAATAAGTTCATTGGGTCAAAAGTAAACTCCCCTTTAATGTGGTTTTGCATTCAGTTCATGTGGCAAAAAAGGCAGCACTTTCCTTGCGATAGTAACTCCTAGTATATAAATATAACTGCATTGGTAAATAAAATAGCGAGTTTCAAAGGCAAACAGCGTATTTTGATTTTTGAAATTTGATCCGCATTTTCCGGGTGCAAAGTGCTTTGAGAGACAGACTTGACATAATCTTTTAACAACGTCTCATATGTCTGGCCCGGCGGCTGGCACATCAAACACGCAGTCGTTAAATTAAGAAAATACTGGTCTTATTGAATATTGGATTGTAAAATTTAAAAATTAAACGAGACTTACCTGTAAGTTGAAGTTTGATGTAGATTCTACCGATTCATAGTCAGGAACATAGGAATTACGTGAGATTGCGCGAGCAAGCTATATCAATGTTTACCAGTGAATGAGCACAGGATCCCACGTAAATAGGGAGGGATCATCTTAGCATTTTTAATGCCGTGAGTTATTTGTATAACCAATGTTGGGAGGGCACGTAATTCCTATGTTCCTGACTATGAATCGGTAGAATCTACATCAAACTTCAACTTACAGGTAAGTCTCGTTTAATTTTTAAATTCTATCTCATCATAGTCTACGTCACATAGGAATCACGTGAGACTTTAAAGCCCTGTGATCATGAACAAGGACACAACACCAGTAATTGTCACACTTTATATTTGCCTCTAACAAAACTGAACCAAGATTACAAGACACATTAATTTCTTTGTTATAAAACTTAGCAAAAGTTCCACAGTTGGACCATCCAGCAGATTCCAAGATGCTTTCTATGGAGGCACCTGCCTTGGCTGCAGCGCTAGTGGAGGCTGCTCTAGTACTGTGTTATTATTATTATTATTAAATTGAAACCACATTGCAGCCAGAAGCTGAATTGCGTGGATTACATATTATCACATGCACTACATATAAATATATTATTAATACAATATTATAAAAACCCACCCACGATCAAAATTCGATTAAAATAAGCATAAAATCTATCCTACAAACTTTCTACACATAGCAGGGATAAAAGAGTTATAAAAGCGGTTCGTGCGTGTAACGTACATATTAAAATACCGATTCGTCCTGAAAGAATAATCAGTCTCGTTCTTCGGGGGCAGCAGATGATGAAGTTTATGCATTGGATCCTTGATGATACTCGTAAAGAGTTTGTCACACATGTCCTCTCTTCTTTGAAATAGAGTAGGCAGTCTAAAATACTCAAGGGCCTCACAATATGTCATTTCAGGAGATAAAATTTTAGCACACGTTTCTGGACAGTCTCAAGTTCGTCTGCCAAATACTTTGGGATGGAATGATGGAAGGCTTGCGCACAATACTCGAGCACAGGCCTGATCACTGTACAATAAAAGTTCAAGACATCATTGACATTTACGCTTGCCCGTTTCAATAATACTATAAAATAGAGGCGTTTATTAGCTTTCTTTATACTCTCTCTGATATTATCTTTCCACTGAAGTGTGCCTGTCATAACAAGACCCAATATTTTTGCACTCTCAACTATAGGCAATGCTTCTCCACCCACCAGTACAGGATCAAAAGGTTGTTTAATTTTTTTAAAATCGATTCTCAGTTCTTTACATTTCTCAGCGTTAAGAGATAGCCCATTTGCCTTCGACCAATCTTCCACAACATCAACTGCGACTTGAACACGGCTCTCTATGTCCTTACTAACTACTTCAGCAACTGTTGTGTCATCAACAAACTTCCACCTCGATATATCACAAATATCAAGATCGTTTATCATTAAACAAAATAGCCAGGGCCCTAATTTTGTACCTTGAGGGATACCGGAAAGTACATCTCCCCACTCCGAATAACAGTCATTGGATAATTTCACTCTCTGCTTTCGATTCATCAAAAAATCGATTGTCCAGCGAGCAACCGCACGTGGAATAGCTAAATTGGAAATTTTATCAGCCAGTAAAGCATGATCGATAAGGTCGAATGCTTTTCTATAATCGAACAGGATGACTTTGACAGCAGAGCCAGTGCCATCAGTAGCTTGCGACCATTCATGGATCATAGATATAACAGCAAGAGTAGTTGAACTTCTTGGTATTACTCCATATTGACTTGGATCGATCATACTCATGATAGCTGGAGCAATGTATTTTTTAACAACACAGTCCTCGGCGATTTTCGAAATAGCGGCAGTAAGTGAAATTGGTCGTAACTGCTTACAAATGTCGCTAACGGGCTTAGTTTTTATGAGGGGCACAATGTTGGCAAGTTTCCAAGATTTAGGTAGTTGTTGTTCGGCATAGCTGCTGTTTAGCACAGCGCATACTGGCTGTGCAAGGATTTCAGCATATTCCTTAAGAGCCCAATTGAGAATTTCGTCAGGACCTGACGCCTTTCCACGATTAATTGCTTTCAGTAAATGAAAGACTTCCAATTCGTTCACTTGAAAAGAGGATAATTATCAAAGGGGGGAAGGGTTGACAGTGGATTGAAGGAGTTCATGGGCTCCAAAAAGGCGTTATTAATTAAATTCGCAATGTTAGGACGTTGCATATTCTCGATATCGTCTAAATAAAGTTGACTACATAGGTCATCGGAGCCGGTTGTAGGTACCATACCAGCAATCTGCTTCACCTCCTTCCACCATCTCTTCGGTTTGGTCGATTTAAGATTCTTTACTTTTGAAGAGTAGAATTTCGCCCGGCATGTCTTTCGCTCGCGGTTAACCCGATTCCAGTAATACTTGAACTGAAAGGTATTTCCACTGCAGAAGGCAGCTTGACGCTTCCTTATAAGCTCTTTAAATTCTGCAGTAATCCATGGAGGATCGTGTACATGCAAAGCCGTTTTCTTTATTGGCATAATGGTGCTAATACCGAGACGTACTAACTCTTCGAAATACTGGAGTTTCAATCAATGTTGTATCAATACCTGCATCCTTTAATACAATCTTGATCCAGCGTGAGATGGTGTCCTTACTAACAGGCTTAAATGGTTTTTGATAACTCAACAATAACTGGCTCGTATTAACGTCAGTTCTGTGATTCGCAGTTTTTTCAATATATGCTCTTAAGTGACGGATAATACACAAACTTTGCTCCTGGCCAAACGCTTCCAGTTCAATAGGTTTTAGATGTTTCCCTGGTCTCGACTGTTTCAGTAACCGGGTCAGATAAAAAGTACATTTCCTATCTGATATGTCCATATGGTTAACATCCAAGCAATGAATCGTTTGCGTTCGTTGACCAGTGAGAAGAGCCAGCAACATAACAAGTTTTAATGTAAGTTCCATTAGTGAAATACATTCAATAGAAGGGTAAGAACGCAGTCTATTTAACACTTGATTGACATCCCAAATAAATGCATAACGTGGCAACGAAGGTTTCTGTTCAAAAACACCCTTTAAAAACCTCTTTACCAAAGGGTGCATACCAAACGTAAGAGAATCCTTAGCTACCAGTATGGTTGAAAGGGCAGATCTGGCTGTAATAACTGCACTGTAGCCAATACCCCTATCAACTAGTTCTGCTAGAAAATTGATACCTTCAATTATAGTAGCTGAAACTGGACTAATCCCTTTGGAGTTGCAGTAGTTTTCCCACTGTGTAAGGTAGGTTTGGTATTGTTTTTTAGTTCCATTTGGGGATTACTACTACTCCTGTTGCCTTGTCCTGCTCCAGTTTCTGAAGAACTTTTGAAATGACACTGAAAGGAGGAAAATGGTAACCTTGGAAAGTGTTCCACTGAGCAGAAAATGCATCAATAGATTGTGCTCCTGGGTCTGGTCTATATGCGATATATCTGGGAAATTGAGCATTTAATCTAGATGCAAACATGTCTATATCTGGGTTAACTTGTAATTTGTCAAGTGCTTGATGTAAGAGTGTGGGGTTCAACATCCACTCATTGCTGATGCTTATTTCCCTTGACTCTTTATCAGCTACTATGTTATATTTGCCCGGAATATGTTCCGCTGAGACCCAGATTTGTTTACTGATGCACCACTGCCAAATATCTAAAGCTACATTGTTACATTGTATTGAGTGGCTAGTGCCCATATGGTTAATAGCAGCCACTGCTGTCGTGTTGTCAATCTTCAATCTAATGTGGGTATTGCTCCTGTCAGGTGTTAGTGATTGGATTGAAAGAAGAGCAGCCCTTAATTCAAGGCAATTAATATGCTCTTCTGATTCTTGGGGTGACCAATGTCCCCCACAAGTTGTACCATCCAATACACCACCCCATCCAATTTTTGATGCATCTGTATTGATTGTAATTGATGGGGGTTCATGGTTGATGACATTGAATGCTTTGTCAATATTGTCTACCCACCATTGTAATTCTATTCTGGCCACAGGTGATAGAGCCATTGGTGCATCATAGTTTCCGTTATGGTCTTTAACAGCTAGAGATTTATCCCGCTCTAGTTGTCTATAGTATAATGGTCCATACATAACTGCTGAAAAACTAGACACCATGAGCCCTATCACCTTAGAAACCTCCCGGATAGTGTGATTTTGCTGTCTCTGCAGTGCCTTACATGCCTTCACAATTTTCTGTTTTTTCTCATCGGTTAGTGTAATAGTCATGGTGACAGAGTTTAAAACATTCCCAAGAAAAATTATTTCTTGAGATGGTATAAGGCATGATTTCTCAGGGTGCACACAAAACCCTAACTCGGTTACCAGTTTTACTGTTTCAAGCACAGTAGTC